AGTGGTGTCCCTTGGGGGTCGGTGTTGGGACCGATCCTACCCAACAAAGCGAAGTGCAAGCTCCTGCCCCTGGGTCAGGGCAATCCCATGCACAGCTACAGGTTGGGCAGAGAAATGATTCGAGCAGCCTGAAAAGGACTTCAGGGTGCTGGTTGATGAGAAACTGAACATGACCCAGCTTTATTGTGCACTTCAGTCCAGAAACCACACGTATCCTGGGCTGTATCCCCAGCAGTGTGACCAGCAGGTCGAAGGAGGTGACTCTGCACCTTTACTCTGCTCTCATGAGACCTCACTTGCAGCACTGCATGCAGTTCTGGTGTCCCCAGCGTAAGAAGGACATGGAGTTGTACAGGTTGGCCAGAGAAATGATTCGAGCAGCATGAAAAGGCCTTCAGGGTGCTGGTTGATGAGAAACTGAACATGACCCAGCTTTATTGTGCACTTCAGTCCAGAAACCACACGTATCCTGGGCTGTATCCCCAGCAGTGTGACCAGCAGGTCGAAGGAGGTGACTCTGCACCTTTACTCTGCTCTCATGAGACCTCACTTGCAGCACTGCATGCAGTTCTGGTGTCCCCAGCGTAAGAAGGACATGGAGTTGTTGGAGCTAATCCACGGGAGGCCATGAGGGTGATCAGGGGCTGAAGCACCTCCCAGATGGAGACAGGCTGAGAAAGTTGGGGCTGTTCAGCCTGGAGAAGAGAAGCTGCTTGGAGACCTCACAGCACCTTCCAGTATCTGAAGGGGGCTACAAGGGGGCTGGAGAGGGACTCTGTATCAGGAACTGCAGCAATAGGACAAGGGGCAATGGGTTTAAACTTAAACAGGGTAAGTTCAGGTTGGATATAAGGAAGGAGTTCTTTACTGTGAGGGTGGTGAGGCACTGGCACAGGTTGCCAAAAGAAGTAGTAAACGTTCCATCCTTGGCCATGTTCAAGGCCAGGTTGCACAGGCCTTGGGCAACATGGTCTACTGTGAGGCATGCCTGCCTGTGTAAGTGGGTTTGGAACTGTATGATCTTTCCAACCCAAACCATTCCATTATTCTATGACACAGGGGGTTCTGGTCTCAAGCAAACACTGTCATGGGGAGCTTCTCATTAATCAACACCCAAAGTCCCTCTCCTCAGGGCTGCTCCATCCAGTCTCCCCCAGACTGTCTTTCTGCTTGGGATTGCCCAGGGACAGGACCTTGCACTTGGCCTTGTTGAACTCCATGAGGTTCACATGGTCCCATCTCTCCAGCCTGACCAGGTCCCTCTGGATCCCATCTCTTCATTCCTGGCCATCCACTAGCACCTGCTCAGCTCATGCCCATCATCAGCAAGGCTCCTTCCATCCAGACCATGCAGAGAGACACAGAAGGTGGGAGGAGTCTGTTACATGGGAGGATGGCTAGGTATCTGCATGCTTTCTGATGGCTTGGATGAAGCTGGGAAGCCAACTACAGGTTTCACCCAACAGGACATGTAAGAGATCCCTGCTGCAAGTGGGATGCTATGTGAAGCTTTCTCAGGACCCCAGTGTTGCAGGGGCCACCCCCACCCCAAAACAGGGATCCTGCAGGATGAGTGGAGACCTCGTGGACCTGCAGCTCTTTGAGGAAGGGGACATGGGATGGGATGATGCTGCTCCTCTCCTCCTTGCTCAGTCAGATTCAGGTTCTCTGCACATCTCCAGGCTGCAAAAACCTCATGCCCCTGAACACCCTCCTGCTCACCCTGAACATATGCTGATGCTATTTCCCACGCAGCATCCACATGTTCTGCAGTGGCCCAGCACAGACACAGGCAACGCAGAGCCCAAGAGGCGGCTCATTCTCACAATGGACCCCTGCTCCTGAGAGCCGTTCATCTCAGCCACCTGAGGCACCTCCTGTGCACATCTTAGGCTTGTGTCCCACCCATGGGTGCCCCTCTTGACCTGCTTAGCAGGGACCCACCTCCTGACCACCCATGTCGGTTTTCACCCAGCCGGGGTGAAGTGCCACGCAGAGGATCCCAGCTTCCCTGTATGTCAGAGCCTGGCACCTGGTAAGCATGTTGAGGGCAGCCTGGGGAAGGAAAGAAGCATCAGCCATGGGCAGTAAAATTCTCCATGCACCAGGTTCCACTCCCATGGGAGGAAGAAAAAACAATGCCAGATCTTCAAGAGACCTGTATTCTGCCCTAGGTGGCAGCAGCTGGGCATGTGGCTGCCCAGGGAGTTTGGGCAGTGATCAGCATGAATCAGTCCCTCCATCTCATCATCTCAGGTGCTTCCTTGGCATCAGCCAGCTCTGACTCAAACCAAGCTCACAATCCCCAGTCTCCATACCTTGCTGCAGCGGTAGGAGATGACAGGCTTGAAGAAGCACTGGGGAGTTTTCTCGATGGACCCCAGCATGGCAGAGATGTTGATGATGGCCGCCCTTCTGCAGCTTAGCCCCTTTTCTGTGCTCTCCTGGGCAGCCTTCTTCAGTAGGGGCAGGAACGCCTGGGGAGAAGCAACCTTGTGGGAACCTGTGCCCTGAGTCAGCCCCACTTACGGCAGCTGCACCCCAGCCTGGCTATGGCAGAGTGAATGAGGAAGAACAGCGGGAAGCCCTAGGTGTTTGCTGCAGTGCTTCCAGTTAGCTCAACACAAAACAGGGGATACACAGGGCTTGGGCTGGGAGCACAGCCCAAGCACTGTCCCATCCCTCCCGCAGCCCTGGGAAACATGGCAAAGCCCTCTGAAATCTCCATCACAGAATCATAGAATCAACCAGGTTGGAAAAGACCTTTAAGATCATCAAGGCCAACCCTTCTCCAGTACTGCCAAGGTCACCACTAAACCGTGTCACTGAGGGCCTCCTCTACATGATTTGTGAACACTTCTAGGGATAGTGACTCCACCACTGCCCTGGGCAGCCTGTTCCAATGCCTGACCGCCCTTTTGGGGAGAAATTGTTCCTAATCTCCAGTCTAAACCTCCCCTGGCACAGCTTGATGCTATTTCCTCTTGTCCTATTGCTTGTTATGTGGGAGAAGAGACCAGCCACCTCCTGGCTCCATCTTCCTTTCAGGTAGTTGCAGAGAGTGATAAGGTCCCCCCTGAGCCTTCTCTTCTCCAGAGTAAACCTACCCAGTTCACTCAGCCATTCCTCATCACACTTGTCCTCCAGGCCCTTCAGCAGCTCCTTTGCCCTTCCCTGGCCCCACTCTAGCACCTCAGTGTCTCTCTTGTAGTGAGGGGCCCAGAGCTGAACACAGGATTCGAGGTGTAGCCACATGACCATAGTCAGCCCCAGCTACCCTCCAGCTGGGTCAAATCCCTCCTCTGAGGTAAGCATCATGCCCAGAGCTTCATCCAAGCATCATCCCCAGAGCTTCATCCATACCTGGGCCATCAGCAGTGGCCCCACTGCATTTGTCTTGTATGTCCTTATCATCTCTTCAGCATCCACTGTCTCCAGCGATGCCTCTGGGGTGTAGATGCCAGCATTGTTTATCAGCAGGTTCAAGCCCATGCCATTCAGCTTCTCCTCCACGATCTTCACTGCCTGAGTAATGGCGGAGGGATCTGCAACATCTGCAGTGGAAGAGAAGAGGGTTTGAGACCCACATGGTCCACCTGGGAAGAACAGGGAGGTTACAACACTAAGGAATAGCCAGACATACTGACCTGCGTGGTCTTCCATCTATGCGCACCAGATGGTGCTGTGCAACCAGCTCAGAGCATCCTGGCATCCACAAGCCCCAGCTAACTCCAAAACTGCCTCCACCCCGCTGCCAGCAGCTGAAGGACCTTGCCCTGGGGCAGCCCATAGGGCAAAGCTACTTGGGGGACAATCCACAGTGGCAAAGTGCTGCTGGAACTCCCATGCTGTGTCAGCCTCCTGCCAGTGGGCAGAGTCAATGGCTGAGCAAGCTCTGGAGAACCCAGGGCAGCCTTGAGAGGTTGCGGGAACATGGTCTCCAAAGAGGCTGTTCTGGGACCTGCCGTGGGATGACTCTGCCAGGTCCTACAGCTCCTGCCCAGGCTCTTGGCTGATCTCACAGCGTTTCCACAGGAGCTGCCTTCGTCCCAGAGCCTTCCTAGTCTCACCTGTGACTTGGGATCAAGGCATCTCAGCTGTATAGCAGAGCAAGGATGCAGCCACTCAGCTGGAGAAGCTGGCGGCTGCCCAGGATAGGTCTTAAGAACATCCTGGTCCTGTCAACACAGGGCAAGGAGGGTCCCGGGAACAGGGTGCTGAGACTGAGACAGGTCTGGAGAAGCTGGGCTTTTGCCAGCAGGACTCAAACCAGCTCTGAAAAGCTGGATCCCCACATAAAGCCTGAAAGCAGGGAGGGAGGGAAGGGGAAAGGGGGTAAGTATGGTCCCATTTTTCTAGCCACGAATTTCCCAGCTCAGGGGCAGACCACACCTACCCAGCTTCACAAGAACCAAGTTTGGGTGTCTGAATGCCAGATCTCTCAGCTCCTACAAAAAGAGACATGGAAACAATCAGCACAAGGCAGAGGTGATGCCAAGCACCATGCTGGGGCACCAGCAATGGTCCCACCCAAAGGGAAACATCTTCCAGATGTTACTCAGTGCTTGTGAATGGCTGGGCTGGGGACCTGCAGAGGTTCTCAGGCTTCTGCTAGGCTCCACAAAGCAATGTCCATGTGCTCAGAGCACGACATGGCCAAAACTGCAAGGTACTATGGCCACTCTCCCAGAGGGTCTATTCATAACGCAGCCAGAGCCACAGCAAAGGGTGAGAGCAGCTACTAAGGACCAGCTCACTGGGGAAGTGATGCAAACAGGGATACAGCCAGAAGTGTCTTCCAGCAGCTGCTGGAAGTGAGATGGAGGAGGAATGGCTGTGAGTACCAAGTTGATGTCTGGGGAAGTTACATCTGGATCTCAACAGCCCAATCCCAGGATCCACTCTGCCCTGGTTACTCCTTCTCCCCCTCCCTCCCCAAGCAAAATGAAACATTTTGCATGTTTTTATTGTTTTCACCGAACGTGGAGAATTCAGAAGCCCTTTCCAAAAGGAAACTTTCAACCACACGTTGGACAAGGCTTAGAGAAGCATCCCCCAGTGGAGAGCAATGTACATGGACCACTCTGGGGGACACTGGCTCCAGTCCAGCTATGCAGAAAGTCCTCTGAGCTCATCATTGCCATAGTCCAGAAAGCTGGGGGAAGAAGAGGGCCTACAAGAAACCTGGAAAGGGGCTTTGGACAAGGGCCTGTAGGGACAGGATGAGGGGGAATGGCTTTAGCCTGACAGAGAGGAGATTGAGATGATATCTTAGGAAGAAGTTCTTCCCTGTGAGGGTGCTGAGGCCCTGGCACAGGTTGCCCAGAGAAGCTGTGGCTGCCCCATCCCTGTCAGTGTTCAAGGCCAGCTTGGACCAGGCTTGGAGCAACCTGGTCTAGTGGAAGGGTCCAACCAGGGGGTTGGAACTGGGTGAGCTTTAAGGTCCCTTCCAACCCAGAGATCTGAGCTAACTCTGACCCTCTGAACTTGGGCAGCAGCAGCAGGAGGAGCTAGGTACCCCAGGCTGGCAGGAAGGTGGGTTCTCACTGCACAAGCTGGAGTAACACCAGCAGTGAGTACACAAAGAGCATCCCAAGGGCTTCCTAAGGCACACACCACACTGTATGGCGAGCTGTGGTGGGTCACAGTGAGCAGAGGAAAAACAAAGCCAGAGCTAAGGAAAGCTGGAGCTCTGCTGAAGCTTTGCTCCTGTGATTCCTCATGTGTGAGTTTCTCCCATTTCAGTGCAGTGCGAAGCAGGGAATGGAGGATCCCAGAGCTCCACGGGCCACCAGTTAACGAGCCCCCGGATTTCGGAGAGTAGTTACATGCTGCACAACCAGCCAGAGCAGAACCACTGGGGTTCACACCAGCCTGATCCTGCTCAGCCTCAACCCCGCGCGAGGCGGCGCTGTGCCACAGTCCACGGGTTGTAGACGGTGTGCCACAGCCCACGTTTGGTACGGGAAGGCAGGCTGGGACACAGCCAAGGTGGCCTCAAATGTCCCGGCAGCGCGGCTGTCAGGGGGTGACATGGCTGAACCTTCGCCCAAAGCACAACAG